CCTTCAGGTTGCCCCGGTACACCACGCCCAGGATGAAGGCCGACAGGAGCCACAGGCCGGCGGCGATCCTGGGGCCGTTGCCGGCGGGCTCCTGCGGCACAGCTGCGGAATGTAGGAATATATATATATATATATATATATATATATATATATATATATATATATATATATATATATACATATATATATGAATGAAGGAAACACTCTACCGTGTTGATACTATGGTAGGAAAACCCACAATGTAAAAAAATAGATTTATTAAAAATGAGACAACAGTTTCGGAATCCACCTGGATTCCATTCTCAGGTCTGAAGAGGAAAGGGAGAGGAGGGGGGTATAAAAGAGAGAGAGGAACATAGGGCAGGTGCCAAGAGGTTGCTGAAAAGCGACCAGATTTCATTCCTGCCCCCCCAGGCACGTATGTGTGGGGCAGGAAGAAAAGTGAAAAGGCCCCCCAACCTCCTAAGAGGAAGGAAGCCGCCCCACAGCCGACACCGAAAGTCTCCAACACAACGGAGTTTCCGGAGATGCCGAAGCCCAAGAAGAAGCCAAAGAAGAAAGCTTCTAAGAAGGCATCAAAGCCCTCGTCGGGAGATGACGATCTCTTCGACGAGGCAGACATGACCCTCCTCATGACTGCTTAACCTGACTTCAGACGAAGAAACCGAAGAGGACTTCGCGATGTTGGGTATGGCTTGTGACCGGGTCTCAGATGTAACTATTGATTAGTAACATCTGGAAGGAATGCCGTGCTCCAAGCAGTAGTGCGGTCAAGGAACATTGACATTGTCATGCTCCAGGAGACATTAACGGAGGATAACGTTCGCTTCTCAGGGTATCACGTATTTATGCTACCTCAAACTGCCGGCAAAAGAGGACTGATCACCCTTGTGAAAGCAACAATCCCCTGCTCCGCAATAGCCGATGCACCGCACTGTGGAGAAGAGACAGAATCTCTCGCCGTAGAGATCCAACTGGCCGGGGGCCCCCTTAAACTGTACAACGTGTACAGCCGGCCAGGCTGTAGTAGCTTAGACATCAGCCAGGTCTGTGCGTCTGCTGTACAAGACCGAGTAGTCATAGGGGGAGACTTCAATGCACATCATCCCATCCTAGCTCCCTGCAGGGGACCGGATGCGGCAGGCTATCACATAGCCAACGTGCTTGAGACGTTCCCCGAGATCGCTCTCCTCAACAACCAAGAGCCAACGCATGTCGGCGGTGGGGTACTAGACCTCACCCTGGTCACTGCGACTCTGGTTGACAGGATTGGCTGGTGTGTGGATGAGACTGTCACAAGCGACCATTATGGCTTGGTAACCACACTCATGGACGCAGGCCCAATCGAAATCCCACGACCGAATCCAAGATGGAAGACAGAAAAGGCCAACTGGCATGCATTCCAGAACGCCTTAGCCCACTGTCTGAGAGGCAATGAATCCACACCAGCCGACAATGTGGATGTGCTGGAAGCCAGGCTGGTAGAAGCCATAAACCAGGCAGCCTCACTGACCATCCCCCAAACTCGGTTCGGGTCTAGGCGTCACAAGGACGCATGGTACTATAACGACGAGATCAGGGAGGTCAACCACAGGGTGAACATGTGCCGAAGACTGTTCCGAAGGCAAAGAACCCCCGACAACCTCGCACTGCTGAGGGAGGCTGTCAGGGATGCCAAGGAAACTGCCAACAGAGTAAGGCAGGAAAAGTGGTTGGAATGGTGTGAATCCTTTGATCAGCATACCAGCCTCTCAGAGCTGTGGCAACGGGTCAGGCGAGCTACCAGCCGCTCAGCCCCGAGACGAACGCACCACGACCCCCAAGCAGAGGCAAACAGACTGGCGCTCGAGTTCTCTGACAGAACAAGCAGCAACAGTCTACCAGCCGAGCTGAGGGCCAAACAAGAAAGCCTGAAAGCAGACAGACTTGCTCAGATCAGAGAAAGGGCAGCCGAAGCCGATAACTCAGATGTTATCTTTTCTCTGAGGGAACTTCGAAAAGCATATAAATTCAGTTCCAACACAGCCCCGGGTTGCGATGGGATCACGTATCCCATCATCTCCCGCCTAGGACGAGAGGGTGAGCTTGCACTCCTGCAACTCATCAACAAATCCTGGGAATCTTCCTCTCTACCACAGAGCTGGAAGAGGGCTACCATAGTTCCCATCCCAAAACCCAAGGAACCGGGGAATTACCGCCCCATCTCCCTCCTCAGCTGTCTGGCCAAGACGGCCGAGAGGATGGTACTGAACCGGCTCCTGTGGAAAATGGGACCCCCACACGAACACCTGCACGGGTTCGCCAGGGGAATGAGCACTGCACACAGCATCGCCACGCTCTTGAGCACAGTCAGCACCACCTCAGCCGTGGTAATATTCCTTGACCTGGAAAAGGCCTTCGAACTAGCAAGTCCCCTTGCTATTCAGGAGTCCCTGGCCCAGAAGGGAATCCGAGGAAAGCTCCTGGCTTGGATAGGTGACTACTTTAGGAACAGAAGAGCCAGAGTAAAGTTCCAGGGTCACCTATCACAGCACTTGCCATTAGAAAATGGGACACCACAGGGTGGGGTTCTGAGTCCAACCCTATTCAATGTACTCATGTCCTGTATCCTCAACTTAAACCTCCCAAGGGGATGCAAGATCATCTCTTATGCAGACGATCTTGCCATCACCTCCATCGGGACACAATGCCTTAACAATGCCCAGCGTTGTCTGGACCTAGTGTCTGAGGAGTGTTGCAGGACAGGACTCAAGATCTCAGTAGCCAAATCTAAAGCCATGGCTCTGAGAAGACGAGTTCAAGGCACAAGCCTGAGAATCCAGGGAGCAAACTTGGAATGGGTCCCGGTGTTCCAATACCTTGGGGTATGGGTAGACCGGACCCTCTCCTTCCGACAGGAGACCGAGTACCTGGTTGACCGCTGCAAATCAAGACTGAACGTCATGAGAGCAATGACCGGGAAACGCATAGGAGCCAGGCACAAAGTACTCAGATCCTTCTATGTACATGCTGTCAGGCCCCTTGTGGATTATGCCTCAGTCGCCTTAATTGGCAGAAAGCAAAAATACAGAGTAAAATTGGAAACAGTCCAAAATGAAGCTGCCAGAATCATTCTGGGTGCCCCGAGGTGGACAAAGGTTCCCAACCTCCTAATGGAGGCCAACCTTTTCCCCCTGGACTCACGAATCGATCAAATGGCAGCCAACTTTTTTGCAAAGGTCATCCAGACTCCCAGGAACACTAGCTTAAGAGAAAAACTAGTGAGACGCCTGGAACAAGACAACGAGCTGTTCGCCAACAGCTCGTGGCTGTCCCACACAGCCAGAGTACTGATAAGGTTTGAGCTGAAAGAGCAGCTTCTCACCAAGGGTATGGACTCCCCCCACCCTGGCTTTGTCGAAGCCCCGCCGTGGGCGACAAACTCGATAGAGTTCTCGGTGATGAAACTACCGCTGAAAAAGAGCGAATACCCCACGCCTGGTCTAAAGGCAGAGACCTACAGGGTCATATCAGCCATCACCCCCCCGGGTAGTAGAACCTACTACACAGACGGATCGGTCGATCCAGCCAACCACACTGCAGGCGCCGGCTTTGCAACAAGGGATGCCATGCGCTCCATGAGAGTGCCTGACAACGCCTCCTCGCTACAGACAGAGGCTGTTGCGATCATGGGAGCCCTAGCACACGCGTCCTCTGGGGAAGGACACGTAGTCATACACACTGACTCTAGGGCAGCCATAGACTCTCTCAAGCTCAGCTCACCCAAAGACAACATCTACCTCCTGACCACAATTCTGACACTAGCACACAGAATATTGGCTCAGGGTAGAAGAATTGTCCTTAACTGGGTCCCAAGCCATATAGGGATCAGAGGAAACGAACTTGCTGACAGACTAGCAGTCTCTGGCAGGGGTATGCCCCCTAGTCCCATGATCTTACCACCTAGCCGTACTTTACTTCGGAGGAAGTGTACTGGTGTCGCCAACTCCTTCCTCCTGCAGCTTCACAGAGAGACAACGAGAACCTCCCACTCGGCCAGATGGTATTCAGAAGCGACAGGCTATGAACCTCTGGCACTCTCTGAATTAAAGAACAGAGGCACCGAAGTCATTCTCCACAGAATGCGCCTAGGTTACCACTGTACTTGGCAGATAATTGAAAACCTTGACCGAGAAGCGAGGTGTTGCATGCATTGCGGCGAGCCGAACGCCACACTGATACACTACCTAGAGAATTGTGTTCACACACAATTCCTGAGACAAGAACCGCCGACAACAGCCGCCGTGCTGGTAAAGAGGCTTTGCGATTCGCTTACCCCGTGGCAGCAGGAACGCCTCTTGGCAATCCCACCGCCACGGTAAGCGTCGAGTTACACAGGTTAAAATGAGTCAGCCCTAAAAAGCTGACACAGGCCGGGCCATAGCCGAAGGCCCGGGCGAAGCTAGACTTCGCAAAACTCAAATTCAATTCAATAGGGCAGGTGAGGACAGACGAACTGAAGCGAAAGGAGGTCAGATCAGGTCGGAGGGTCGGGCGGACTGTGTGCAGGATGGCCGGCGTACGGGAGAAGGCGGAGGATATGGAAAGCGAGGAGACTGTCGGCAGGAGAAAAGCCGCTGTTCAGGTTGAAATTAGACAGCAGAGGAACACACACATGTGAATAGATAGATAGATAAATAGAGAGAGAGAGACAGACAGACAGACAGAGAAACAGAGAGAGAGAGAGAGAGATAAAGAGGGATAAAGAGGGAAAAACAGAGAGAGGTAGTCCTTCGCAGTTATCTTATCTTTATCGTTTCTCCAAACACATGCCTGATATTACGATATCATAGGAAATGCTTCGAAATATTGACATATTTTCCCATCCTAATTAGGATTTGCTGCCATTGCTAACAAAAGTACAACGGAACTTACAACCAGTAAATAAATCCCCCATTTTTAAATGAATGAAAATGGTGCCTTTGACACGCCACTGTTGCACGTTAAACAAATCCCCCATT